TACATATTTTTGCATTATATTTATATTTGTCCAAAATTTGCTTATTGTTAAATTTTTAAAAAGCGTCTTTGCTTCAAATCCCCATAATAATTCAGCAAGCTCATCTTGCAGGTTGATGCCCACGTTTTCAATTTGAGCAGAAAATGGCACAATAATCCAATCAGGGATGTCAATGTTTTCCAAATCAACAAAACGCAGTTTAAAATCGTCGCTCAATTTTTGAAGATTACCTGTATATATTTCCAAGTCTTCTTTTATTTCTAATTGTCACATATCTGAAAAATACTGATAATCCTTCGACCAATTGATCCTTCAGGTTCGGATCGACCCGCATTCGACCCCTGGCTCAGATCGACCCCTGCTTATGTTAAATAGATCCCTGGGGGTCTATATAGACCACTTTGGCGACCTCTGACGTAGGCAATTTAAGAAATGGAATTCTCTTTGGAATTTTTTCTCTTTGACGAATCACTCTAGGTAATTCGCACTATAACTGAATTCTACACTTTAGCAGTAGGATTTTTAATTAAAATTTATGTAGGCGTGTGTCATAAAACATCAAGTAATCATCAATACCAAAAAAAACCTCAAGATAATGAATTAAAGGTATCAATCATAATTTTATTTAATTCAACATTACTGTTGGTTTTTTCGTTGTAATGCTTTGCTTTGAAGGTTAAAACAAATAAGTTATTTCTCTTATACGTCTAAAAGATCAAAGGTATCTCATATCAAAGTCTAATTTCCCTATAAAATTGATATAATTTTTTTTCAATTGATAAAAATTGAACGTCCTCCAATTAATGTTTTTAAATTTGTGTTTCATTGAAATTCCTAGTGTTATCAGTTTGCCCAGAATAACTTTGCTTTCCAGTGAGGAACATACAATGGAATGATTCCAGGTTGGTTTTACAATGTGTTTACCAGAGCCGAATCAGAAATTTGTCACAGTCCGTATTATTTTACACCTTTTTATAATATTATTTAGTGGTTTCTTTTTTCTTTTTTAAAAAATTTTTTCTTCCACTTGTGTTTTTCTGTTGAACCACTTATTTCCGTTTTTTCTCCTCAGATTAATTAATAAAGAGCCGTGAAGGGACGAGCCTAGGAGGCAGAACCAAGTACTGGAGGCAATGTCCTTACCACTGGGCTTATTTGAAAAACGAACCATGTTTAATTTTTCGCGATATTCCAAATGTAATTTCCAAGTAGCATCGAAAAGCATATAATTCCAATCGCAATGTATATGTTGTTGTTGTTACTAATGCCACTTGCTACACGGGCAAGCCTGCTTGGTGAAACTGAGCAAATTTAAGACAGAGTGAGCGTTTCTTGTTTTTCAGTGGCGCCATCTATGGCCAAGAATTCGACTTCTGCCACACCATGCGTCGTACCCGTTTATAGGACGGACCCATTCATACATCCATTCAGTCATCTACAGATCGTAATTTTGACCTGAATCAGAGAACGATCGATCTCCAATCCAGTACCCCCAGAGGTCTTGATTTGTTATGGGAACATGGAGGATTTTTGCGACTCGACAGATTTAACGTGCATCAGTCACTTTACTACACGGGGAGTCTTTGGTCGACGAGGTTCGAACCCACGAATTCTCGGACATGGGCTCAGCGCCCTACCGACCAGGCTGTCCCGGCTATGTATATAAATGTAGTGAAATATTTACTAATCAACGGTTTAACAGGATGTACATGTTACATACTTTTAGAACTTAAAGGAAAACCTTCCACATACAAATCTAGACTAAATTCTAAAACTACCCAATAAGCTAACGAAGCCGGTCGAATTGAGAAACAATCTGAAAAAAACTGCAAAGGTTAGAGAAGGCAACGAAGAATCCCCTTCCTCTAATTTTCGAATTTAAATGTGAAATTAAGAATTTAAAAATTAAAATTCGCAACATTAAAATAGTAACTGTGTAACAGTAACAAACTAATACCAATACTATTACTAATATAATACTATTAATATGCTAGTATTTTGTAATGTTAAAAAACTTTGAAAAGCTAATTTATATTCAGGATCTTGAAAAAGCCATCAATATTTTTTGTTTCTAATATTTCTTTTTATTTTTAAAAACTATCTTTTAATTATGTATTTTTTTAAAAAAAACTATTTTTTAAATCTATAATTTAAAAAAAAAGTATTTTTTAAATAATTATTCTTTAAAGAATATATAAATATATAATCTATATAATATATAATCTATTTTACAATTTCAGAAATTTTTTTTTTTTTTTTTTTTTTTAACTGTGCATTTCTTTTTTTTAAAAAACTATCTTTCAGTCTCTATGCTAAAAAATGATTTTTTAAATCGTTATTTTTAGAAATATATTTTTAAATCTATATATTTAAAAAGAAACATTTTTTTAAAATATATATTTTTAAAAAATTAATTTTTAAGTCTCTTACTTTAAAAAGAATATTTTTTAAATATTAGTATTTTTTTCAAATATTTCTAAACCTATATTTTTAAAAATTTATTTTTAAATCAATATTTTACAAAAAAAATATTTTTTAAATCTACAGTTTTTTAAAAAAAAATACTTCGCCGCAAATTTAAATTTTTGAAACATTTTCTTAGAAACTGCACATATAAGAAATCTCTAGTTAATATTTTAGTAACAAAGGAAATAGTTCGACCTCTTTGCTATTTGTAATCTGTATAATGATTAATCAAAGTATAGATTTTTTTAATAATTTTCTTACTTGAATGTGAATTTGTGTAACGAAAAACATTTTAAGCCATTCCTCTATTGTAAGCATGGAAAAATCTATAAATTTTCGCAATGAAAATATATTCATATTGTTTAGCAATATAAAAAATGATACTAAATGAGAAAAAGGGTTAAAGAGGATAAGAAAAAAAACAACATTCAATAAAATGAGTTATGGATAATAAAAAAGCAGCAAAAAAGAATGAAATAAAGAGAAAAAAATGTCGAATAAAATATTGAGAAAGAAATATTGAGGGTAAGCGAAAATCAATCAATAAATAAATAAAACAAAAAAGGGGGTTTAGGTAATAAAAAAAGGGATAAAAATGTGATGACAAAACGGAATAAAACCAATAAACGGATCACTTACTTTAGTTCACTTTTCATCAATATCAATAGTTGAAACGTGTTGATATTTGAGCGCTAAAAATACAACACAAAAATTAATTAAAATTGTTTTTAATTTCATTTTAATATAATTAAAAACCAGTAATATTTTATGAAATATATAAAAGCATATTTACATACCTTTTCTATTTAATCTTCTTTTTTTTTAAATAAATAAATAAATTGTTTCCGCGCGCCTATGAAACGAAAATTGCTTTTACGCACTTTCCGTGATTGAATGGAAAAGTAAGCCAGAACTTCTCTTTCTGAAATAATATCTTCATGTATTCGTTGTGTTTGCCCGGTAGGTGGCGCTGTTTCTGTAGCTGAAAGAAACGTAGTAAACGAAAAGGTGTATTTATTCTTTTTCTTCACTTGTTTTGTGAAAGCTTTGCGCCTTTCCATTATGAGTGCTTTTCATGTCACGTAGAAAGAAAACACACTGTATTGAGAAATATATTGATTAATTTCTTGTATCCTCTTGTTGTCACCTGACAATATTTCACTTTCATCCTCTGTTAAAAAATCGCTCGAATCAGCCGAATTATTTGCATGGAAATTTTTATGCATGTCAAACGCTCGGTTCGCAAAGACTTATCATAAAAATGATTTTCTTTTAACATTCATTTCATTTTAATCATTACGCCTTCAGTTTATTTTGTATTTTATGAAAATGAAATAATATTTAATTAAAATTTCAAAATCCATATTTCAGATTAAAGTATAATTTAAAAGGATATAAAATCTGTAACATATTTGCTTAAATAAAATATTGTAATTTTAAACTTCAAGAAATTGAAATAAATATTTATCTGTAAAATTTCTAAGGAATTGCAATTATAATTTAGGAAACTGTATGGGTTGAAATTGTAGGAAAAAATCTATGGAATCAAAGTTTTCTTACGTGAAAATTCATAAAGCAATGATNTATTTTAATTTATATATTTTAATTTATATATTTTAATTTATATATTTTAATTTATGTATTTCAGTTTGTGTACTTTAATCTATATATTTTAATTTAAATTATTAAAATTTTTTCTTATCAAGGAATTATTAATTGCGATGGAGCGGCGAAATTTAGAAAAAAAGTACTAAATTGGAACATTGTATGCACTTACCGGCTTACCACATTCAAATGTAATTTATCTTAATACGAGAAACATCTCGCTATCTTACAGTATATTGAAAATTTAGCTTAAGGTTAATTTTATTTGTAAAGTGATATGATATAAAAATATCTTATAAAAGACAAATAACTATTTTTATTGTAATTCATATTAGGGGAGATCAACCGTTTTGACTGAAGGGCTGCGTGCATAAGTATTTTGACACGTTGACGGCAATTATGATAGTTTTAATGTAAACATCAGTGTTTCAGTCACAATTCTTTTTATCACTCAACTTAATTTTTGCATAAAATTAAATTCTTTTACAAATTAAAATTTAATTTAAAACTGAAGAATACCAAGCTGATACTTTTCAAAATAAAAGTATATTTTCCTTTTATCAAAAAATAGATTTATCAAAAAATATTGCGAAAAATTATAGTTTTTTTTTTCACATCACGTAACAACAGTGTATTCTAAAATAAATTAACTATAATGTTTTTGAACGAAAATAAAAAATAAATAGATAAATAATAGATAATAGATAAAAAAATAAATGCAAATTAAATAATTAAGGAAACTGAATGGGGTTCAAAATAATTAAAAATAAAACAGAGTGCATTATAGCTCAAAATAAGATAAAACATTCATTTGGGATCGAGTTCAGTAGTTAAATTATGTTATTTATCTTGACTTTAATAGTTGTAACAGTGTGACAAAACCTAAATTATAAATATTCACGTAACAAAACTAATTTATACAATTACACCGAACAGAATGTTTCCATTGAATAATTAATTACATGAATATTTTAATAATAATTTTATGCATACTTGAATATGAAGTCATTTGGAAATTTTCATTGTCGCGAGGTCGCGTAACATATTTATAATTATAATGCTTTTGTGGATGGTGTGTTTTTAAAACATTATTAATAAATTAGTTTTGGGTCAAGTTGTTGAAAATGGGGACTCATATTAAATCAATATCCCAATACATCACTTCACGTAAAGGTTATTTGTATAATTAATTTTGGTATGTTATTTGAGAGGTTAATATTACGTGGCAGCTAGTATTAAAACCCTTTATTGTTATAATCATTCAGTATTATTTTAAATTCTTTTGTGTTATTTCGTATTGCAATCAAAACATGAAATGTGAAATGTGGAGAATTCACAGAGAATAATTATATAACCAGCATTAAAATCTCGTTTATCGAAACTCTTCATTTATTCACTGATGTTGTTGAAAATAATATTTAACAGTTCTTTTAAGTTTTCAATCCGTTCAAATTGAATGCTGAACTCAAAGTTGATCTGGTATCAGATACAGTCTATAGAAATAATGTAAGTAATTCTAACAAATATATAAATAAAGAAATAAATAAATTTATAAATAAATAACGAAATATATTTATAAATAAGTAAATAAATAAAAGACAATCAGATTTTATCTATTCAAACAATAATAAATAATAAATTTTAAAAAGCTTAAAAACAGATAATATTGAGTAATCTATACAAAAATGCTAATTGTTTAATTTTAGAGCTCACATTTTTAAGAAAAAAAAATATAGAAGTTTTAAAAATTAAGAAGAGATACTTCTCTTAACCCCTTAACGATCGGTTAATTTTCAAGAAAACGGTCGTAAAAATGCCTATTTTTTTTTACTTTTGTATTTGTATTACGTATTTGATTAGTACTGATATCTAGTTTAAAATAAACTATTTACAATTACCTTAAAAATATCCTGGTACTGCCATCTGGTGTGTAAAATGAGAAATATACTGTTATCCGAGCAAAAGAAATGAATTAGTTTTATTCTTCGGCGCGTTACTACTGAACACTGCCGCCCGTCATATACGTCCCAATATCACGGGAGCGAGAAATAGAGAGCGAAACCTCACCCCGTCATTTTCACGGGAACGAGAAGGAAGGGGTTAATCTAACAAAGCGGTTGGTGCCTTTATTTCCAGATTTTTTTTTGAAACGTGTACTGCTTCAAAATGGTACTATATCATAAAAATTTTGTAAAAAAAAAAATCAAAAGAGGAAACGAGAATGTGTTGGATACCCTGTGGTATTCAAAGAGGTAGAAAGGAAATATCATGGAAAATTATTATTTAAAACTACTTAGGTATTTTCCACATTTTTGATTACAGAAAATAAGTGTGATTAAATAACTGTGATTCAGATTCATCCCAATAACTCACATGCCTGTTACCCGTCTGCTAAAACGTTACTATGCATATTACCTTGATAATCTACTGATTAACTGGGATATTCCTCGAAATCATAAGTTTTCCGCAATTTATCTAGGCAAATGGTGAAAAAACGATTTCCGAATCGTTATAGTTCAAACGTTTCTCTTTTTCTGTAAACTAATTTGTTGATTGTTTGACTGCATTTATTAAATTGTTTAGACATCAAAAAATAACACGTTAATTTACTTAATTATAATAAAATTTTAAACCATTTTTGATAATTTCCGTAAAAAAAATTTTTTTTAATGATTAAAGTTATTAATGATTGATTCTATTTACTGATGTGTTAATTGTTGTTACTTGACTTTTTAGATAACGAAAAATAAATAAATAATATTATGATAGTTTAGCTTATAGAAGCATTGCTATTGTTCCAGAAAATATCACGTTTTCATTTTAACAAATTCCTAGTAGGTGATGTGTAGATTACCGAGGAAGTTTGCAGATTACTGAAGTAAGTTGCGAAATGGAATGAAGTTTTTTCACTTTGACGAATCTCTCTAGGTAATCTGCATATTACCTAGATAATTCGCACAATAACTGAATTCTACACTTAAGCAGTGGGATTTTTAATTAAAATTTTTTGTAAGCGTGTGTCATAAAACATCAAGTAATCATCAATACCAAAAAAAAACCTCAAGATAATGAATTAAAGGTATCAATCATAATTTTATTTAATTCAACATTACTCTTGGTTTTTTCGTTGTAATGCATTGCTTTGAAGGTTGAAACAAATAAGTTATTTCTCTTATACTTCTAAGATCAAAGGTATCTCATATCCAAGTCTAACTTCCCTATAAAATTCAAATTTTTTTCTTCAATTGATAAAAATTGAATTGATAAAAATTGAATTCGTAGAACGTCCTCCGATTATTGTTTTTAAATTTTCGTTTCATCAAAATTCCTAGTGTTATCAGTTTGCCCAGAATAATTTTGCTTTGCAGTGAGGAACATACAATGGAAGTACATACAATGGAATGATTCTAGGTTGGTTCTACATTATGTTTGCCAGAGCCGAATCAGAAATTTGTCACAGTCGGTATTATTTTACACCTTTTTATAATAATATTAAGTGGTTTTTTCTTCTTTTTTATAAAATTTTTTCTTCAACTGGTGTTTTTAGTCGAACCACGTAATTTTGTTTTTCCCCCTCAGATTAATTAACAAAGAGCCGTGAAGGGGCGAGCCCAGGAGGCAGAACCAAATACTGGAGGCAATGTCCCTACCACTGGGTTTATTTGAAACACGAACCATGTTTAATTTTTCGCGATATTCCAAATGTAATTTCCGAGTAGCATCGAAATGCATATAATTCCAATCGTGATGTATATGTTGTTGTTGTTTCTAATGCCGTTGCCTCACGGGCAAACCAGCTTGGTGAAACCGAGCAAATTTAAGGCAGAGTGTGCGTTTCTTGTTTTTCAGTGGCGCCATCTATGACCAAGAATTCGACTTCTGCCACACCATGCGTCGCACTCGTTTATAGGGCGGACCCATTCATACATCCACGGATCGTAATTTTGAACTGAATCAGACAACGATCGATCTCCAATAACCAGCACCCCGTAACCAGTACGTAGTAACCAGTACCCCCAGAGGTGTTGATTTGTTATGGGAACATGGTGGACATTTGCGACTCGGCAGATTTAACGTGCATCAGTCATTTTTCTCCAGTCGGCGGGGTTCGAGCCCACGAACTCTCGGACATGGGTCCAGCCCCCTACCGACCAGTCTATCCGGGCCAGTAATGTATATAAATGAAGTGAAATAATCATTAATCAACGTTTAACAGGATGTACATGTTACATGCTTTTAGAACTTAAAGGAAAGCCTTCCACATACAAATCTAGACTAAATTCTAAAACTACCCAATAAGTTAACGAAGCCGGTTCGAATTGAGAAACGATCTGAAAAGAACTGCAAAGGTTAGAGAAGGCAACGAAGAATCCCTTAGTATCTTGGATTCCATTTTTCTTTTTACAATTTCAGA